TTCTTCGACATTGAGAAAGCTTATGATAAGGCATGGAGATACGGTATACTTCGGGATCTTCACGAGAGTGGCTTGCGCGGCAACCTACCAATTTTCATTCAGAATTTCTTGAAGAGTAGAACTTTTCAAGTAAGGATTGGCTCTGTTTTTTCGGATGTTTTTCAACAGGAAGAGGGTGTGCCCCAAGCCTGTGTGCTTAGTGTAATGCTGTTCAGTTTAAAAATAAATTCTGTATTAAAAGAACTTCCTCCTACCATCTTGAGATCACTATATGTAGATGATTTACAGATTAGCTGTTGAGGAGCAGACATGAGATACATAGAGAGGCAGTTGCAGATGGCTCTGAATAAGATCCAAGAATGGTCAAACAAACAGGGATTTACTTTTTCGAAACAGAAAACTGTGTGCGTGCACTTTTGTAGGAAGCGAGGTCTCCATCCTGAACCTGAGTTATATCCAAATGGTACAATTATTCCAGTTGCGCCCGAAGTAAAATTTTTAGGAGTGACGTTCGACCAGAAATTGACTTTCCTTTCTCATGTTTTAAACCTGAGAAAGAAGTGTCTAAAAACACTAAATATTTTAAAAGTGTTGGCGAACACCTCCTGGGGTGCAGAGCGTTGCTCCATGCTTCGCATTTACAGAGCGCTTATCCGCTCTAGACTGGACTATGGCTCAGTGGTTTATGGATCTGCTCGCTCATCTGTTTTGTTAAAACTGGATCCTGTTCACCATCAAGGTTTGCGGATTTGTTCAGGAGCTTTCAGGACTTCTCCTGTACAGAGCCTATATGTTGACTCTAACGAACCATCACTTTATCTGAGGCGTGAGCAATTGTCCCTTTTACAATATTTTAATATTTTATCCCAACCTGAATATCCCAATAAGCTGTGCTTACTTGATAATGAGTGTAACTCACTATTTGAAACACGTCCATCCTCTGTTCCTACTTTTCCTTTAAGAGTTCGCCCTGTCATTGAGAAACTTTCCCTCTCTGATATGAAACCCCCAAGCAGTACAGGATTTTGAAATTCCACCTTGGGAAACTTCACGGATTCAGCTCTTTGATGTTTTCAAACATCACGTGAAGGTGAGCACTAACGAGATCGTTTACAGAGAACTCTTCGCTGAGCACAGGCACAGATATAGCAGTTATTATCCGATATACACAGACGGATCAAAGTCAAATGATCATGTTGGGATGGCTTTTGTATTTGAAGATTACATTGAGGGCAGATGCCTACACCATGCTTGCTCAGTCCTAACATCTGAACTAACTGCAATATATTATGCTCTTTTGTACATCTCGAAGCTCTGCCACAAGAAGTTCATAGTTTATACAGACTCGTATAGTGTTCTTAAATCTTTGGAAGCTTTTCCCAACACTCAGAATCCTGTGGTAGTGGATGTCCTGAAAATTCATATAAATTTAATGATTCGCGGATATGAAGTCCTGTACTGCTGGGTTCCTGGACATGCTGGAATAAAGGGAAATGAGCTTGCAGATATTGCAGCCAAATCTGCTGATGAACTGATTAGTCGCCTTATCCCTTTTAGAGATATCTGCTGTGTCATCAAGGGAAAAGTCCGGAAAAGATGGCAGCAAATGTGGGATGTTCAGCTTCAAAACAAGTTAAGACATGTAAAACCTAGAATTGAGCATTGGGGAATCAACTAAAAATCGTAAGGAGGAAGTTCTTTTGACTCGCCTCAGAATTGGTCACACTAGAATGACACATAACTATCTTCTCAAAGCTGAAAATGAGCTTGTGTGTTTTAATTGTAATGTTTGTTTATCTGTTCGTCATGTTTTAATTGAGTGTCCATGTTTTAATAGTCTTCGCCAGAAATATTTTAATAGCTGTGACTTACCTCTCGACCGTTTAATCGGAAGAGAGGTCAATTGTAATTTATTTTATTATTTGAAAGAAACTGGCTTTTATCACCTAATGTAATTTGTTTTAAAGATTGTATCTTGATTTTAAATGTGTGGTTTTAATTGTTTTTATATGACTTCATCCTCTGGATTGATACATTTGTCTACTTGTTTTTATTTATTGTATTTAATTTCATCAATTGTACTCACCCCATCACGTGTTTGGCGCACTATAATCATCTTTGGTTTTGCGCCATAATCTCTCACTCACTCACTCACTCACTATTATCGCAGGACTGAACTTTTGAAGTTTTTATACTTTATTTTCAGACATTTCTGTGACAGTAATTTTTTTCAAATAATTTTTCCTGTTTTATTGTAAAACATAGTTATTAGTCTTGTAGTATGTAAAATTATAATATAGCTTGATGTTTAATATGCTTTTCTAAATGCCTCGCTATTATCCGATATTTTCACTAATCCAACATTTTATCTCCTATTTATGTCAGATAAATGAGACGTTTCTGTATCTTTTTCCAGTTTTAAGGTCTTTTGCATATAATTGCTCGTAGTGAATAATCCGCTTCAGCATGATAATATGACTTACTTATTAATCTCAGTGTTAGGTTTGATAGTCTAAATTCTATTTATGCATCATTGCTCAAGTTTTATTTTTTACAATCCTATAAAGTTTTTCTTCCAGAAGTTTTACATTTCAATCTGTGTAAGTTCTTCAGAGATGCTTACTTTGATTTATTATAAACTGTTTATCAGCTGTATTGTATGCCTATATGAACCCATTTCTTTTGTTTTGAAACTGGCGGGATTTGAGTCTTTTTCATTTTAGAAGTTTCAGTAGTGATAGCTAAATTATGTATTTTTCAGCAGGTATCTAATGTGAAATCTCAGCATTTTATCAAGTTATAGAAGAAATAAGCAACTTTCCAGGTCTGCACAGGAACAAATTTTAGCATTCTATTATGTATTTACTACAGCTGTTATATTTGATGCAATATTATACTAAAATAATACTTGTATTTATTAAAAAAATTAATCATCTGGGGATTTAATTTGAATATGCATTTGAAATACACTATGTCAGTATGCATATAAAGGATTTTAATATAACAGTTTTCGCACAAAATCTTCTGTGGATATTTAATTATTAACACAAGCAACACTTCAGTAACAAAAGTTTTCAATTTAAAAAGCAACTTTTTAATGAAAATGTAAGATCATAACTTTGACTTGGCAATTGTGCATAGAAAAAAAAATATGTAAACATACCTCATTGCCTGAAAAAAGATTTTAACAAATGGGATTAAAGATCCTTGGAATTTTAATTTTTTCTAGGCACTTTTGATTTTGAATTAATTGCATGTTAGGTTTTGAATAAAATTAGTCTTAAACATTTAAAGAGTTGAATGCATGAAAGATAAAATGGATAAAGTTGTAACTTGTATATTCAGTTTTTTTTTTTTTTTTTTTTTTTTTTTTTTTACATTTTTACAGTCTTAGTTTCATTCTTAAATCCGTAAAGATCCTACAATTTTAAATAGTAGCTAATAAACTGAATTTAAAACCCCTGAAGGGGCCAGACCATTGCCTATATTCTGTTGGACAATCCAGATCTAAGTGATTCACTTTTTAGAATTTCTGTAATAGAGTTATTTACTATTTCTTAAGTAAAATATTGGGGAAAGGAACTTCACATACAGAAACTTTGTGAAAAGATGAAGTTGTGATTTTTGATATTCCTTAGTTATTTTTATTATAAATTTAATTTTCACCAATTAACTTGAAAGTAAAGCTAAATAGAAAATTTACTTACTTACTTACTTTATTTATTTATGCCATAGTTGCATCAACTTTCATATCTTTATTATTGTACTTGCTTAACTTTTAAAGTTTCAGTTGTGTATGATAGTAATGAATGCAATTAACAGATTATCTTGTTGTAATATTAGGTAGAAAGTTATTTGAAGCATGTTAAGTATTATGCATGAAGAACATATATGCTATATATGTTGTTAATGCTTTTGATGAATTTTATGATAAATATAAATAAATGTAAGGAAATAGAAATGCTTAGTGTTTGAACACTACATAAGAGATTATATTATTACCCTAAATTACAATATTAATTACAATATTATTGCTTTAAAAATCATACTGCAAGTTTCCTTAGGGAAATGATTTTGGATTCAGTCTGACCAATTAGCCTCAAACTGCCTTTTTGATCCATATGCGAGAGCTTTCAACAAACAGTAGAGAAAAATTATTGCCAAATGATAATTAAAGTAAAAAAATGCACCATTTTTCTGAAGAATTGTCTAAAAAGAAATGGAAATGCTGCTTCCATTCATTAGTACAATTAATATTTCTATTTCATCTAAATTAGCATTATTTGTTTTAATTGTTCATTAGCGCCATCAGTGGTCGAGGTATTAAGACTGCTGAATGCTGGGAGTTAGACCTGAGTTTGATCTCAGGCAAACAGGCTGACTGGTTTGTGGATGTGGTTTTTTTGTATGTGTGTAATGGGAATACAAGCCAGTTTCCCTTAGGAAGCCATCTATGGAAGCATCCCTTCCATAGGCAGATAATCTTTGTGTCAAATGCCATATTCAAATAACCAAACCTATAATAATTCCTTGAATTAATATAACGTATTGCTTCATAAATTTATAGTTTGACTAATTATTTGTCTAAGAATTTTGATTTCAGTACTTAAACTAACAAAACATAACATTTAAAATTCTAGGAATATTTGGAAATCAAATGTAATTGCATTTATTGTTATTGCAAACACCCGAAAATTTTTAAACTGTTCTAAAGCAATATTGAGAAATTGTTCTTTATTACTGTGAACTCCAAAAGTGCATTTATTGTTTATTAATTCTGATTGCAACAATTTTGATATAATAGTTTATTATAGTATCAAATGCATGTTTAGATTGTATAATTTAGTCCTAGAAAATCATACTAAATGTCATGATTTGGTAACAAACTATATTGTATTTGTATTCCCAAACCAATTCTTAATATTCATAATAATATATAATTATCAATATATGTGCATATTTTCATGTTAATTCATTGATATTCTGTAAACTTATTCTAGTTCCCCCTAGACTGGAAAACTTGGTGGAGAAGGACAAAAACAAGTCATCAGTATTAAATAAACCTGTTACAATCAGTTGCCCTGTATCTGGAATACCACCACCTGTGGTTCAATGGTATAAGAATAATAGTATTTTAAATACTGCTACAGATCCTAATATCCGGTTATCTTCAGATTCTCGTCATTTGAAAATAATTCGTACTCGTATATCTGATGCTGGTATTTACAAATGTAAAGCAGCCAATGATGTAGGAAAAATCGAAGAGGAATTTTCTCTAGATGTACAAAGTAAGTGTATATTGATTTAAGAAATTTTCAGTTAAATCTTTTTCATTTTTTGAATAATTAATAGATTTTGAAAATAGTGTACAAAATTTATTCTGGTAATTATGCTTAATTTGTTCCCAACCAATCTAAATAAAATATTATGTAATATTTTACTAATATTCATACTTTAAAACTATTAAATGTGATTATTAATCATTAATGTGAATTCCAAATACAAATAACTTTTAAAGAGAAGGCTGCTTGTTGTTTAAATTAGTTGTGTAGCTTTGTTGTTTAATTAGATTGTTTATCATAAAAGAAATAATGTTGCATGTAAAATGATATAAAAGTTAGATTAGCTTATTTAATGAAATTATAAAACTAAGCTTTCATCTTTATTTCATTTTCAATATGTCAGAACAAAATTATAAAAAGTGTGTATAAAAATTGCTATTGGACCTTGAAGTAAGTATTTTGAAAGATTATTATGTTTAAGAGATAGTTTTTTTAATTTATGTTGGATTGTAAATGTTATTATGTGCATAATGAATTGAATGCACATAACCAATGATAGCTTTATAAAATTTATTTTCCCAAAATCCCAAAACAAAAACTTAACAGTTGTGGAACTCTCCACAAAAGTACTCGCACAACTCTTCTCAGTATGACAGATCACAATCCATAGTTACCACTTTAAACTAATAAAAACATAAAGCAAAATCTCCGTATGAGCTGAGATCTTTCAGTACTGTGAAATCAACTAACAGCTGGGAACTGATGCTCACTCTGGTCTTATATAGCCTGGGTAATTGCCTAGAGAAAACCTCAGGCATTGAGGAATTTCCAGTACCTTGCTTCCATTTCCCGAAATTACTGGAAGGGGACCAGACCAAAATGTCGCCAAGTTTGGCGACAAAAATTAGTCACCAAACCCACTGCCAGCTTTGCAATATCTCACCAATTTAGCGAGATAGTTACCTTTATGTTAAATAGACAACCCCTGTAATCTTATTTTTCTGGAAGAGCTTCACTCTCTTTAAACTCTTCATGTTCGAAGAACGAAATTTAACTGAATCCTCCTGCACACACACAAAACAGTGCTTGCACTGATATTTGTATATTTTCCCCTCTATTAAATATGCTGAATACATTTTCTCGTATTGCATTTTACCTTTTTGATAAACTGTATTAATTACTATATTATGCTATGGTTGGTGGTTGGATAAATTTGAGATTATGTGTAAAGCAATGGCTGTCAACTTCTGTATTGTTAAGGGCTAATTTAATTTATGTGCTCAGCCCATGGGCTTGCACAATATGTTACATTTACCAAATGTTTAGGAATAGTCCCTGGAGTTGTAAATACCTATTATTTCAAAATTATTTTGGCACTAATTTCAGATAATATTTATATAAAAAAGGTCCTTAAATATTAGAAGTTAAAAATTTTTTTGTATATTAAAAAATTTGGCTAATAAAAATTAATTTGTTTTACCACTGAAAAAGACTACTGAAAGGCTATTGAAAAAGACTTTGTTGACCACATTCAGATGGCATGCTGTCGCTGATGTGAAAGACATTTCAGTTCAAAATGTATTCTTGGTAATATAAGGGGAAAATATGTGCTTCTTTAATTTGTATATTTAAAAATTTGTTGCTATCATTTTTGCAAGAATTTAGGGGTAAAGTGCAGAATTGCCCACTTATATGGCCCGTATCGATGTGTACATGGACAAAGTCAAGGGAGTACGCAATGCCAAGTTTTTACAATTCTCTTATGTTTTTTTAAGTGAAAATAAGACGATGTGTACATGGATGCCGAGTTTGTGTAATTCTTTTACTTGTTATTTTCAAGTTGCGGATTTTGTGAAACGCGCAAAGAATTTAGTACTAAATCAGAAGGAAAACTGTTTTATGCTGAGATTTAATTCTTATTGTTCTTTTTTAAAATAAAGCATTTTTGACAGTATTTTCCTATGACTGCAATGAAATCTCCTTAAAGTGATCATCTACAGTAAAGACAGCTTTGTTCTTTTGTGGATTTGGTTGCCTTAGAGAAAATGAATGTCAGTGATGTTCAGTATTGATAAGAGATACTGTTACTTCCAAGAAGTGGTCATTGTGAGCCATTCACTATGTGTAGTTAGATTTTTTTTTTTTTTAATATATATATAAAGTTTACCTTCAAAATTAAATCATGTGAAAAGCATTATTTTACTGAACACTATGCTGCATGAATCTTTGTATGTGGGGCCATCCAGAAGTCTCCCCTATAATAAATAATTACAAAGAAAAGTGGAAATGGAATGATTAAATACTTTAAATTAATAGCTGATTTAAATCTAGTACCATTTGGAAAATAATTATAAATTCCACTTATTAATAGATTAGAATTATTTTTAATTGTTCTTTTTGGCAGAGTTTGTTTATAAAGAATTTGCCCTTTTCCTGTTGTGTGCTCTCATGATGTAATTGGTAGCACATCTGGCCAGCAGTCGGAAGGCCCATAATTTGAATCTTCGGGAGAACACTGCTGATTTTTCCAGTTTCTTTGTCTCATAAAAATATAATGGTTCTAAAAAGTTTTTAAGTGTATTTATAAATGTAAGATTTTACTACTAGTGTTTTAGAAGATGTAATCTTTTATTTAAATGCTTTCCTTCTTATTTTTACAATTTTTTTTCTTTTTTAATTTTTAGTACCACCAAAAATAATGGAAACAAATAATGTTATTGATTATTATTCTGAGGATGAAGATGAAGGAAAAGGGGATCTGAAAGCATCTGAAAATAGCACAGTTGAATTAGATTGTTATGTTGATGGAAATCCTAAACCGGCCATAATCTGGATAAAAGATGGATATCTCGTAAATGATACTAGTCATTACAAAGTTTCGTCAAATGGACAGCTTTTGCAAGTGAATCATATCACCACATCAGATGCTGGACATTATACTTGTATTGCCTCAAATATTGCAGGAACAAAAGAGAAAAATTTTATACTTGATGTGCTTGGTAATTCTTGAACTATGATTTTTATTCATTTTAAATTATTGCTGTGTAAATGTTTAATGCATGTTAGTTACTTTTTGATTCAATATGTAGCATATTTATAGAATTTTTAAGCAAATCAAAAAACTTTTTTATTTATATTTATTTTTAAGTGGGATGTATTTATCTTCACAACATCTATGTTAACAGTGTTACATGAAAAAGAAACCACACAGAGCAAAAATAAATAAAAAATAAATAATAAAAAGAAGAGTCACTTCCCAGTTTAAGTGACTTTTTTTATTTCATGGGGATTTTTCTAGAAATGTATATGAAAAATGCTGTTGAATTTCATTGACTCTCTTGAATAAATAATGATTTATAATTAAGGATAATATAATCTATGAGTAAAATTTTGATATTTATATTTAAAATATCAGTTATATTTTTGTTTATAAGTTCAAAATAATAAAAGCAAGTGTTGAATTTCTTTATTTTTTAAGCAAATTTTTGATTTTTTGAACTTTTTAAAATTGTATTTTTGTATAAAGCTTTTGTTGAAATGAATCGATTAAATTTGAGAATTAATAATCTTTCCTTTGTTTAACTTAGTATTGTACACAGTAAATATCTGATTAATTATGACAAAATACAAGTAATTTTTCTTTTGTTAACTAAGATATTTATAAGCTCCCTGTCACTAAGAGCTACAGTTGAGCTGCAGAGCAAGTGTGAAAAACATTTTTTTTTTTAGTAATTGTAATGGTTAAAATTGCAAAATGTATATTAAAACTATTAAAAATTAGTGCTTGGTGTATTTTGCAAATTTTAAATTTATAATATGCTAGTGAAAAAAAGGTAAAGGTAAAATGATAATGTTCTTCACATGCTTTATTGTTAATAAAATAACTCATTCAGTTAAATTAATTCATTCAATTAAATAATTCATCAATAAAATGATTCATTCAATTTATTAATTATTGTCTCTTTTTACTTTCACCATTTTCTTAATCTGCATTTATTCACAAATTAATCTATACTAGTGGGCAAGTTCGCCAAAGCAAAATTTGTAAGTTCTGTTTACACCTGAAAAGCAAATATCGGAAAACATTTCAATGTGAAAGAAATTAGTTCATTCTTTTCAAGCAACAACCAATTCGTAAATAACTTTTTTATTGTTGAACCAGGAAACAAAAACTTTTGACGCTTTAGGTTAATATGTATGACATCATGATTTAAATTTAATGTAATATAACATTTTCTCAATATTAATAAAAGAATCAACGTGGCAATTATACTAATCTGAAACAAAAAAGGTTGACAATAGTAGTTGTTTATTTAAAATGCCGACATTTACGAAAACTTTTCGACGTACAGTGATGTCACATGCAATTGTGTTCTTTATTCAACGTCAGAATATGACCTTATATAATAATAATATGTTTAATGTTTGGCAGTGTTATTTTTATTTCATCTTTTATAAACAACTGTATGATTATTAACTGTATGGTTTATATAACAAACTGTATGATTTGAAAGCAAGCAGTAGCATCATTTTTCAAAATAAACTATTTTTATCTCCAGCACATGACTGTTACCACTTGGTAACATTAGTGTGAAAATTAGTGTTTTCAAAATTTGTAATTAATATCTTGGCTGATTAAAGTCGTACGAAGTTGGGAATAGTCACAATGGCTTCCTACGAATTTTTGGAATCCGATGATACTTCTCTCAAAGCTCAACTTCCCATCATTGTAGAGGAGATAATGCTACAAACAAACAAACAGATGCACACAGATTTTAATAGTATAGATTAATTTCCTAATTATGATTTTTCTAGCAACTGTAATTCTTTATTCATATTATTTCTATGATTCTGTGTGTCTTGACTTCTAGCTACAGATGTCTTTCCTCTGAAAGTTAAAAAAAGGCTGTGTAGCTTTTTTTTAGCACATTTATTTCTGTTTAATTCATGTATATTTTCAATGCACTTTTAAATTTTAATTATTTTCTTACAGTTCCACCTAAAATTAAAGGACCAAATTATGAGTCTCGCTCACTCCTGCCAAATCGTCCAGCTGTGATTGAATGTGCTGTCGATGCTAACCCTCCACCTTCAGTTACATGGTTAAAAAATGGCAATATCATAAATGTTTCACAGTATGATTTAGTTAAAATTATGGAAGATGGGAAGATGCTGCAGTTTTTGAAGACTAATTCTAATCACGATGGCATTTATACTTGCATTGCAGAAAACAGTATTGGCAAAGCTGAAAAGAACTTCAAGGTAGATGTCTTTGGTATGTAATTAAAAAATTGTCTCGTAAACACAAAATTCCCTAGAATATGTACTGCCTAGAAATATTTTCTAACTGAAATTATCATTCAGGTTTTATTGTAGGTAATAATTTGATAATCCATATTAGTGATATATGATTAAAAGAAAAATATTTATAGTTTTTTATATATTAAAAATTTCCCCACCCCTTAAGAATTTAGTAAAAGTCAGTGTTAGACTGGCATTAATTTTGAATGAATTTTCAAAGAACCTATCCTTCATTTTTGTTCTGCAATTAAGTATTCTGAATGATTTTGCTGTGGGAAAATGGTAAGTGTCAGATTCCTTTAAGATGACAAAGCTTTCTTTAACAATTATAATAATTTTTGCATTTTAAATTCCAATTTGACATGCTTTGATCAGTGGTTGGATATATTACTGTGTTTTAAGCCCTACCAGTAGCTGAGTGGTTAAGACTAATGAATAATGGTTGTTGCCCTAGTTTGGGTTCAATCCCAGGTGAATGGGCTGGTTGCATGGCTCGTTTTCATGATTCTTTCAGTGTGTAATCAAAAACCCAGCCGGTTTTTATCAGAAAGTCTTCCAAGAAGCCATATTTCCTTAGGCAGATAGCCCTCATTATATCTGTCCTATTCAAATAACCTACCCTAACCTTTACTGTGTCTACTACCTTTTAAACTTTTCATTTATTTTTATATTAATATAATTTATTTTTTATTTCTTAATAATGAATTATATATTAATATAATTTGTTATTAATTGTAGAAAGTGTTAAATCAATTGAAAATCAGTATGGTATGAATTAAAAAATTTCCAGCCTACTGATGGTCAAGAGAATTACTTCAAAAATTGCTAATTTCTTATTGGACCTGCCACAATTTCTTCACCTGTTCGGCAAAAATCTGAAAATTTCCATTTAATGGTATCTAATAAAGGCATAAATTGCTATATAAGTTACATACATAGTGTGTTAAAAAAAAAGTGGTCAATTATTTTTTCTTAAATATTCATTAGGTATTAAATTTACATAAATTTCCATCTAGACACGAATTTCTTCCTCCTGGCCATGATAAATTTGTAGATCTAATCTAGATTATGTATGCATAAGGAGGATTAGTTCCACCATCTCCTAGGAACAATATTTCCAATTGTGAAGTTTATTTGATACTAATAAATAATGCTCGATACTAATGAAACAATTTTATTAAATGAAATTTTAACAATTATTTACACTTTGTGAAAACTTAATATATTTTTAAATCCATTCATCAAAAACTAGCATTCCGAATAAACAAATATTATTATTATTGAAATATGTCACCATAGCAACTTTTTAAATGGAAATTACCAAGGAGGTTAGAATAGAAGAAAAATACATACTTTTTTCATAATTTATTCTAACCTCCTTGAAAAATTACGATAATGGTATTTTCATTGAGCCAAATTTTAAGAACAATGTTTTTTAATAGGCTTAAATTTAAATAATTATTTTTAACATTACTGTTGGATGAAACAATTAATATTTGAATGTTTTTAGAATTTTTAATATGTTTTTACTCCTACAAACCAACCAACCTAATTTATATGCAATTTCTAAGCTATGAAAACCAGAAACTCACTGAAGCCTAGTGTAATGATTTGAAATTTAGCAGTTTAGCAGACGTTTATAATAAACTTACTATGAATAATAAATAGTATTTATTTTTAAGATGTGTCATTGTTTGTTTTTCACTTTTATAAATTTTCAAATTTATACCTTACAGTGGGGAAAGGGAAACTAAATTTTCTGCTTTCTAAATTTTTATATATATATATTATTTTACAAAACTGCATTTTTAAATATTATTTTACAAAACGGCATTACTTTTAAAATTCTTTTTTCAGTTTCTCCTGTTATTCAAGATGCTCATTTTGAATCTGAAATAATGGAAAATGAGAAAGTGTCAATGGACTGTGTAAGCTATGGAAATCCAAAGCCAAATATTATATGGCTAAGAGATGGACAGATAATAGCTGAAGATCTGTTGAGAAATTTGGTAAATATTTTCATATTTGAAAATGTTGAGAATTGGTTATGAGCACTTACTATGCATGTTTAAACTCATCAAAACATGCCTGATAAATGATAAATCTGTATCATTTTAGGGTAATTTGAATCACTGACAGAAAGGTGAAATAGTAGCATCAAATAGGAGATATGAGAGGCTACTACAAATTAAAATTGGATTTTATTTCATATATTCTTTATCTTATGTAAACAAAGAGAGAGCAAGGGGGAAAAATTCAAAACCCATATTACAGATGATCAAGTAGAATAGAAGAGTCAAATATTATGACCAAGTACTCAATAATGCATCGTGTGACTTTTAGCCGTCAAAACAGCTACAACTCGCCTTGGCACAGACGGCACAAGTTCTTGGTAGACGACTGGAGATAGGTTGTACCATGGAGGTAGGAAGTAAGAGGAGAGACCCTATCTGGTTTTTCCCCATTCTGCAGCTTTTATGATCTGTTGTATCACAATTAAAAATATCAGACCCACCCATGAGAAGGTATCCCAAAATATAATGCCACCACCACCAGCTTGTGTACCACCTGTTGTAATAAATGATAAATCCTAATTTATTCAACCGGGCAACTGTCGTCATCTTATCCATGTCCAGTCTTGATGTTCCTGTGCCAAATGTAGGTGTAGTTGACACAGGGTTGCCACGCTACCTGGAAAACCGGGAGAACCGGAAAAAGTCAGGGAATTCAAAAATTGACCAAAAAATTCAGGGAAAAGTCAGGGAATTTAAGTATTTTTGTCAAAATCTGGAAAAGTCAGCGAAGTTCATACAACGATTCCGCCAAAAAAAGCGATTTTTGCGCCGACGTCGGAAGAGATAACTTTTTTGGCGAATTGTGTATCACGTGAGTGTCATTCGGGCAGCTGACATAGAGCCAATTTTCGCAGCTCCAATTTGATTGTCTTTTAGAAAGGCAGAGCAAGTTTCCGGCAACTTTTGGTTTCCAGTATTCTCGAGAATCACATGTGCAGTGCATGAATTAAAGAAAGTACCTGTTCTCATATAAAACAAAATGGGTTTAATCGTAGTATACGGTACCATAGAGGTTAGAATCAAAGAATATGTATTGTAAAGAAGGGAAACCTCTCTGCAACAGACGTGGCTCCATTCCATCATAGAGGGAAACAGCTGTGCATGCGTGATATATCTGTCGCCAAAGCTCGAAACCGGTGTCGAAGTTCGAAGGTCACGTTATCAAGAATTCATAAAAAATATAGTTTAAAATTTCTTTAACCACTTGCGCTAAAAAGACGTGTGAAGCACGTCGAGATGCTTTTGTCTCAAACCGCGAGTGACGTGAACACCATGTCGATAAGCATTTATCGCAAAAATGAAAATAACGTGGTGCACACATCGCCTAACAACGAGAGTGTGTATTTCTTGAGTTACAGCTCTGGATTGCACTTGCAGATGCGGAGTGGCGTAAATGAGACACTTTACCGCTTGTTATATTGTAGCACACGACACCGCAACCGTGAAGTTTAATCTTAGCGCAAGTGGTTAAACTCTAAAGGAAAAGAAAATATTTTTTGGCGCAAGTAAATTAATTCATGGATTAGTTATTTTCAGGGGGGGAAACTACGAAAATCCTTTTTTAAAATTATTGTGAAAAATCCAAGAAGAAACGTCCTTTGATAAAACATTTCTTCTTGGATTTTTTGCAATAATTTAAAAACGGATTTTCGTAGTTTTCTTTTTGTTAAAGAACGTTTAATAACACGTGTTTCTCAATTTCCTGTACACATCGTGGAGAGGGAAATTCTGGCCGCCAGGTTCCGTCGCCAAATCCCTTGGCAAATTTTCCCTCCGCATTCTGGGGGCGTAATAGCATTTTACTTGTATGGAACCTTTTTTTTACATAGACATTCTTTGTTTAAAATAATCTCCATGTATGGTACAATGGGAATTGGCGACATGATGATGCGCAGTAAACGGGTCATTTTGGGCTTGATGACAATTTTCAAAATCGTGCCAAAGCCTTACCGTATACTAGAATTTTACCGCAAAATCTTTTTAAACCTTTTTTTTTTTTTTTTTTTTTTTCTTTTTAATAAATACCGTGCCATTTTGCAGTAAAATAAAAAAATAGTAATCAGTCATCTAGGCTAACCATGTAATATAACTATATTCGCTAAAATATCATTGATTATTCTAATTCAATTTTTAAGTAATTATCTTTATTTTTACGTTATTCGTATAATTTAATGTTGCTTCTTCCCTCTAAATTTATTTATTATTAGTAAATATTTCCAAATTTCAGAAAATTTTCTCTGGCATAACCTGAAATTAATTCTGGCAGTATGATGACATACCATCACGAAATTTAATGCACATATTTTTTCCTTATGTATGCTGCGAAATAAATGTAAAATACCTCAATGTATTAAAAAAAATTTGGTTAATCTTTGGATTATGGTAACTTGGCAATTTTTTGGCGAAACTTTGGCGACCAACCTTGCTACAGCAACCTGCTGGTTTTTGTTTGGATGCCATTTTGTTTTCACGAAGTAAAGGCATGTTTTTTTTTTACTCAACATTTCTTTTCCAACAATCTGCTAGCCGAATTACTCTTATGCTAGAACTTTTATGGAACAAAAGTGCTTAATCATGACGAAGATTAGGTGCGAAATTGGGAGAAAGTGCAGAATCGCCCACTGCTTGCTGCGTTTTTAAGACTTGCACATACACGGTATCATCTATGTACACGTCAACCTATTTTCACTTAAAAAACATTCCAGAATTGCACAAAAATGGCATTGCGCACACTCTTGACTTTATCCATGTACACTGCTTAAGTCCTAGCTAGTAACCTTTATCACCTTACCAAAATATCGCCAAACTACCTGTTACCATATTCCAAAGATTAACCACAGATTTCTTTCTTTCGTTTAGCTGCAGAATGTCTGCAAAAAAACCCTTATTTTATTCCAGATTGGGAACATTCTAATCTCAATCTTCAGTGAAGAAAACAACAACTATTATAATTATATTTTTGTTTTCAAGTGTTAAGGTGCCTTTTGAGAACATACCTCACACAAATTAAATTTACCTAAAATCTAACCTAACTCTTTAGCATTGCGTTGGATTTATATAAGGACCGGATTATTAGCCTCGTGTTGAACTGGTGATGATCATGAGTAATAATTAAATAAAACATACATTTGTTATCCAATGTATATATCTTAAATTTTTTTAAGTTTCTTAAGTGGAAAAGTAAACAAAATTATCAAACAAAGTATACCAAGAATAATTAAGAATAAATGTCCTCTGGGATTTATTGAATAATTAAGTGAATTTGCTGTGCAATACAAGTATAACCATAATTAATTTACCTCTTAGCACAGCCAACGTACATTACGCGGATAGACTGGAATTTTCTTGAAACACACCTGGAAAAGTCAGGGAATTTTATTCTCCTGTTTGAGTGGCAACCCTGTTGACAGTAACACTTGGTTAACAGAGGCACATGAGTGGGACGTCGGCTGTGCAGTCGCATATCCAAGTGTCCACTGAACTGTGTGTTCCGAAAAACTTTCACTTGGACCTGCACTGTATTGAACTGTCAGCTGAGCCATTGTCTGGTGCTGAATTTACTGTGCCAAGTGAGACAAACTCTGACGTCTTTTTCTTTGATGAGGCATGGATATCCAACACCTTGGCTCTACTGCTGGTTTAACTGTCATTTAGCCACTTTGCATAAATACTAACAACAATGGATCGTGAACAATCTACCAGTTGTACAGTTTCGGAGATGCTCATTCCGAGTCTTCATGCCATCTATCAAATTCAGCCTTACTCTCCCTGAGAGTAAGGCGATCAGCAGCCTTACTTACCTGAGAATAATTCCTTACTCTCTCCAGCAGTAGTTAAGTACCATCCCCACCTTATCACATGCCCTGTACGTCATTTAGATGAGTTCATTAAAAAATGTGGGGATGGTCATAATGGCTCATCAGTGAATACTTCTGTCAAAATAACCTGACAACACATACAAGGCTACAATGACCAAGTCACAGTTTTTCTTCCCATTCTTCAACTTATCCATATGCAACAGCCTTTTGCAAATATTTGATTTCTTTAATGTGTTTATATATTTGATGGTTCTGGCATGTTTAATCAGCAACAGTTCTTTCTGGCTGTTGTACAGTGAAGCTCTGGTTGAAGCTTATATTTAATTCTGGGACAGACAATCTGCATTTCTCTATTTCCCATCATTTACCATTCTTGAAATTCAGTTTGGAAGCACTAGTAGTTTCACAATATCAAAAGCACAATATCACATTTTAAAATTAAATTGGAATAATAATATTCTTTGTAATTCGAGTTTTAAAATTGTTTAAATCATATTCACTTAAGAGCAAAATGCCAGTTCAGTTGACTGCAAGACATGACTGGTCTTTCGATACACATCTTAATTTTCAGTACAACCAGCAGGGAAAGTAAAATATTTAGATCGAAGCAAATGAAATAATTGAAATGATATACTAAAATATAACCATTAAATAATTTTTAATAATAGGTTTATTTATTAAATAATAATATATCGATTTAAATTTTAATTTTTAAAAATTTTTAATGTTTAAAAATAATATATCAATTTTCAGTAATCCTGAGAAATTAATTTCTCTAAAATAATTTGTACTCAGGTAAAATCCACAATCCTAAGGTTTCATCAGATTTAAGAGGTATTCCAATTTTAGTGTTGTTTACATGGGAAAAAAGTGCATTTTAAATCCAAAGATGTACACTGAAGTGCCACTGAATTAGGGATTGACTATGCAAATTTTATAGTGCTGCGCGACATCTGTGCTCATGTATGTGAGGAAGTTGTGGTAAATGCACATACAGCTAGTACTATGATTGTTGTTAACCAGTTGTTTCAATTACCAGTATGGGTAAAATTTCTGATTTAGACAGCTTCAATCTCGGACAGATAGTAGGCTCTCAACATGTAAGCCATTCAATTTCCAAAATCCTCAGTAGGCTAGGATTTACAAGATCGACAGTGTCAAGATATACCGAGAATATACGGATGGTGAGAAAAAGAACTAGCGATTGGGCAACTTGCAAAGGACAATTAACCTAGAAAAGCGTGGTGTGAGACGGCTCAGCCGTATTATACATAGCCAGCAAAGCCAAACATTAGCTCAAATTACCACCCAACTGAATCAGGGCGACAGCCGTACAGTCAGTAAAAGGATCATGCAACGCTCACTTCGCTATATGGTCTTCAGAAGCCATAGACTCACGAGAGTACCTTTGCTGAATGCATGCCATCGAGCTGCACTTCTACTACATCATACATCTTTCTGGTAAACATTATATATGTTATATTTTATGTAATATATATGTACACTTTATTTATAATTTGAAAAAATAAGTGCATAATTTACCTCATTTGATATGGTTTTGAAATATTATGTAGAAAACATTCACTGAAGTGGAACAGAATTTTAAGATTTTAATGTATAAAGACTTAAATTTTACTATTATTTTAAAAAACCAAATTCAATGCTTATTTTTTTTAATTGTAATACATTCAGCAAATCTCAATTTTGCTTATTTAATTCAATGTGTTATTTGAAGTTTTCATATTAAGTATAAGCTACAGTTACTATTAATGCATAATTAAAGATATTAAGCCATCATAAAAGAAAAAAAAATGAACAGCAAAATTTTAATATGATCTTCTGTTTGAAAAGAAATGTGGGGATGATTTGAAAATAATTTCAAGTTCATTTTTTATAAGAAGACATGTACTGAATTAGAGTAAAGAAAACATTAGTTGAATATGTTTGCCAAAACATTCAGATTCTGTTAAAAGACCATTCAAGAAAAGCAGTAGTATTAAAAAAAATTTATAATTAGAAGTATTCTTCATTTTAAAAATAATTGTTCTCTTTTCCTCCCCTTTCCCCAAAAATTTACCAGAAATAGTCTGTTTCCATTAATCATCATGTGATTGACATATTGACATTGTATCATTTTTAAATATAATTTAGTGGTGAAATATTCTTTCTTTAAACGTTTTTTTTTCTGTAAGTCTCATCCCCCAAAATGCATTGTTTAATTTTTAAATAACAGCTACTAGAAATGATAGAACAGTATTCTTTAGCAAAATGCGTGTTCTGCTATATCCAGTAATCTCAAGTTAGACTGACCGCTAATAGAGTAATGTTACCAAATATGTTGTTTGCATTCATCAGTGCATATATAAAATGGCAGATATCTATGGAATATCAAGAGCTATTTCTACCCCCTAAATGGCAAATTTATAAGCTTTAAAGTAGTCTAATAGTTGGAGCTTTTGAGAAAGCTCATATCATTTCAGAAATAGGAGCAAAATTTGGATTTTCATATATAACAATTTCAAGAGTGCTTTCTAACTGCAGAAATTTCGATTAACTGAATTTGTGACAACGGTGGAACTATAAAAAGATTCTGGATCAACATGACTGGCTGTCAAGAATGATTCCTCATGGTAAGAAGGGCAATACTGCATCAAGTAGCATTTTTATTCAGTGCTGAGTGTTCAACAGAGGGCATAATGTTTGTGGAATGTTCCATTCACTATGTAAGCTCTAGGAGCTTATATCCAATCAAATTACTTCTGTAATACAGAATTATGCAGTTCAGACATTGCACATCTGATGGTTGGAAACCCCCCCCCCAAAAATCACCACATTCCCTGCTGTTTTGAGAAAATTTACATTTAAATGAACTTATTGCTTATGAATTCGTGGATTCAGAAGTTTTCTCCACATGCATAACTGGAAACTGACTAAACATGTTGTGGTGTCTGCTTAATAGATACAGATATAGATAATGGAAAATAAATTTAAAAAGAATCTATTTAAAATTCATGCTATATTCAATTCGGAATGAACATGTATAAAAACATATGTTTCATCTCATACAACATCAACTTTGAAGGCCTTATGAAAAAAATGGAAATTTTTCATATAGAATTATAATTTTTACTTTTTCATGTGGCCTTTATATATATGTAATGGAATGTTTTAGTGCAGTTCACAAAAGCTAATAACCTTATATAAGGAAAAGATTTATATATACAACTTCTGGAGCACCCCGTAATCATTGGCAAATTAATACATCAGTTAATTAAAGTGGTTATGCCCAAATTTATGAATATGTTTGTGTTTCAAAAATGCTGTAAGATCTTTAAGTCATAACAAAATCAGAAATGTAATAACAACAGTGAAACCATAATTTCAGCAATGTTAACAATATCACTGCTATATTAATGATGTTAAAAAGTATCTTTTGAATATGGAAATTAGTATATTACAAGATTTTGATATTTGCTGTGATTCTTCAAAATAAGTAATGGTAGTTTAAAAATTTTTATATTTGTGAAAATATATAGAAAATTTTGGAAAACCTTCTCTGAAGAATCATCACTGTCATATGGACTTTCCAAAAACAAAAACTTTTCTTTAATTGAACTGAAAATTTTAATAGGGCTCTAAACTATTGTCAAAGTTTGTATTTTGTAATAATTTTAATAATTATTTTGGTCAAAATTGTATAATTTGTATTTATCAAATTATTTTTCTCCCCCTTCAGGGCTTTATCTCTTAAAAAGGTTTACCTGTCTGTCTTTTTCCCTTTGAAGGGAGGGGAGAATAATATATAAATAGTAATCATAACTTAAATTAGTAATAGCCACTTAATTCTGCATTTTAATTGTGTATTTCTCCTCTCTGTTCAAAAAGTAGCAATAACTTTTTCTGGACTGCATCATTTGTAGATTAATCCATATTTTATGATTTTAACATAAGAACAATGATCTAGCTAGTTCAAAACTCACATTTTCAGGTTCTAAAACCTTTCTAAGTTTCCGAATTGGGTAGCTACACACTTTACTTCTGCTCGCCAGCCAAGGTAGATTGCTGCTTCTCATTTTACCTCAAAGCTATCAAAAATTTAAAAGTTTTTAAAGGGGGATAATTAGAATGCCCAAGTTCAAATACAAATTAGTATTTAACTTTTGATTGACCCAAGTTTACTGTTCAGTATGAATAACCATCTATGCAATCAACTTATTATTATGAATAACCATCTATGCAACTAGGTCATTTCATCTACACTCATGTCCATAAATTAAGGATAATGCAAAAATCAGGCAAAGGAAGAGTTAGAAGCAAAACAAATTTGACCTATTTGTAAAGCTTATTTATTAAACAAAAGGTAAAGAGCAAAAAAAGATGCTATATGTTTGATAATATTAAAAAAATTAGCGATTTTTTCGTCTGATACTTCCAGTTGGGTACACCCACATTTCAGACGACCAAATAATTCTACCACGTAAAAAATCATCCAAATGCGTCCTTTGTGTCATAACTATTCGGTTATTGCACTGAAATGCTTATAAAGCGCCTGTGAACAATTTTACTTCTTTCCCTGTGTTCCTTATATATCACTCTATTACACTCTCGTCCTTGTGACGTACCATCGGTGTCATCTGGTTACTTCCTGAAATTTGCTTATGATTCTTGAAGATGTGTGTAATGATTTTACAGGTCATATATTTATTTTAGAGTTCGATTTCCACTTGACTCCAAATTATCCTTAATTTATGGACATGAGTGTAAATCAGCATATCATTGGGATCATTACTATGTGTACAAACATCTCTGACAGGTGAATGCCATATACCTTCTGATAACTTAACCCATCCATTTTCTGCATTCAGTTTTATGTATGTGGCCATTTCTAAAAGATTAACATGTACTAGACAAGTCTAGAGGTACCATATTAGAGTTAAAAGAACATTATTTGAGTCTGTGATGTTGATACAAATAGCTATGTCACTAGATCTCAACATAATGGCATGCAGTTTAATACTGAGCACAGAAATCATACATCTTTGAGTATACAAAATTATACATTGCTCAGCCGGTAGGATATTATTCCCTACATAGCTGTGTAATCCATTTTTCTGTGATTGTATACGCCTATGAAAAAACAATTGAATATCAGGCTGCTGGCATGTAATTTCGTTGCTATTTCAGTTTCAATGACACTTTTTATTAGGAACTTAAATCATAAGATGTATATGGTTTATTTTAGGTTTATTGCTTTTAGTTTTACTTTCCTCTAAATAGCATTTCCAACTTAAATGTGTTTAATTTTATTAATTAATTATCTAATTTTATAGATATATTTAATTTCTTTTTAAATATGTCTAGTGTATTAGTAAAACTGCAGGGTTTCATGATTTGATTTTTTTAATCAAGACAGGATATCACTAAATAGACTTTTTTTTTTTTTTTTTTTTTTTTTTTTTTTTTTTTTTTTGAACCTACTTTCTCTCTCTTTTTTTCTATACTTAATAAACTTTTTTTTGTGTGTGTGTGTATGTGTTTATGTATATGTGTAGGACATATATGAATATTGTTTGTTATGTTTTGCAGTCTGAATTCAAGTAATATTTATAAATGTTAATAAAATATTTTCTAATTTGCAAATTTAATGTCATAAAATTTAATTTTATGCTTTTCATGATAAATATGTATTTAAATGTTATTTTTATTTTTGTAGAGTATTGATAAGCTAGAGAACGGTTTCCACCTGAAGATAGCTGAAGTTAAAATGTATCATACTGGAAATTACAAGTGCATTGCAACAAATATTGTTGGATCTGCAGAAAAATCATTTGATATCTATGTTAAAGGTAATATGATATAATAACTGTTTATCTATCATTTATTTTTTATATTTTTTATCCTCTTTCAGTCCCTCTTTTTTAATATATATTTGAAATCTTGCTGTCATTTTAGTCTTTCCAAGGATCACCAATACGTCAGAACCAAATATGACTGTGTTTATTCATCAACCAGTGACTATGTATTGCATAGCTGAAGCTGAACCAGAAGCTTCTGTAGCATGGATTAAAGATGGTCACATAATTAGAGAAGACATAGATCCTTTTATCAACATTTTGGATGATGGCCAGAAACTTCAAATTCTGCGGGCTCGTGAATCTGACGATGGGCAGTATTCGTGTGAAATTTCAAATGCAGAAGGAAATGATAGTCGTTCCTTTGTACTTAATGTCCTAGGTAAGTATTTTTAATCTTGTTTAATTTTTATTGAATTTTTTGCTGTGGTAGTAATAAAACTGGGGCATTGAATTTTATTGTATTCACTGTAGAAAAAAATATGTAGTTTGCATTTAAATGCAGTAAAAACCAGCATTTTATTTAGTACCACTGTTCCAGACAATTTTAGTCTTCTATAGAGCCAGTTATGTTAGAGAAGCTGGTTGATGATAAGTCTTTGTAGTGGATTTATTTTATTATTGCTCTTGGAATCTGTTAAGGAAAAGTCCTGAAACAGGTGCACTCTCTATCAGTTTACTAATAATTTTATATTAAAAAAGTACAAAGTAATCAATAATAATAGAAACAAAAAGAACTTAGGAAATGACTTATTTTATTCATAATTTAAAAAAACTATAAATGGGATAGTATATCTAAAATAAAATATGAGAAATAGATCGTATATGTAATAAAATAAAGAAAACAGATCGTATGTATAAAATCTCACTCAAAACAACCTTAGCAAAGCTTTATATTGTGAATTTTGTTCAGTAATTAAAAAAAAAAACTTGCTGTTACACTATAAAATATGGGTACTTTATCTTCCTTGATTAACCATTTCTTCTCTAAACAGTGATGAACTTCATAGATAAGTCAAACATTTTATTACTTCCTGTCTTATAACCTAATTGTTTTAACTTGACTTACAGTATTTAGAGATTATTATAAACTATTGCTGTCATGCAAGGTTTTTTTTATTACCTTGCCGTTCCATTTTTAGCTTAGAGATATACTGATATTTTTTACACATCTCAGTTGCGATGAATTTTCTTATTATAAAAATTATTTTCTTATTTTTCTCCTTCCATTAAAACACTGACATCAGGATAACAATTGAACAAAAATATTTTGAATAACTTTGGCAAGAATAAAGTACTGGATATGGGGAAAATGAACTAAATCCATATTTGCTTTTGTTTAACTCTTTTTATGATGTTTTATGTTATTTCCATTATATTATCATAGATGAACTTGTCATAAAACTGCTAAAAAGATCTCTACTCATCACTGGGATCATTTATTAATACTTTTTATGCACTTTTTATTTAATTTTTCTATTTACATATAGATATTTTAGTTATTCCATATGCTATTTACTTATAAATATTATACTTAGTTAATATGCTAATTATATGGATTCATACACCCAAAAAATAATGGAAGCATTTATTGATTACTGAGCATATTTTCTAAATTAATTGACTATTAAGAAATTACAAAAATCTCACACTAAAGAATATTTTTATTTTTCCTTTATTAACAGAAATTATTCAATTAAGTATTAATTAATTTCTTATTTTATTCTTATTAAAAACTTTTGCTGGAAATATTATTTCGGTTGTTGCTAATGATTGAGAGATACTCAATGCAACTTTAACTATTTTTGTCAAATTATGAAACTTTTGTTTCTCCTACAGAATATTTTAGGAAGGAAAAATAACATATTTATTGTGAAAGAATAGAAAACAAATCTGAATTTAATTATTAAAAGACTAAATCTGCATAATTATTAACAGTGTAATACTGCAAATGAATAAAAATTCTTCCACACTTTTCACTATGTTTTTTTGGGGAAAATTATTTAATTTCTTTGCATTTTGTGAGAGAAATGATAAAAACACCTACTTTCAAATAGTGAATTTATCCCCTTTAAAGCATTGTGAGCAGGGCTGTGGAGTCAGTAGGGAAAATGATGGACTCCTGGGATTTTAATGACTCCAATTTCGACTCCGACTCCTTCATATATATGTAAACATACACACATAGGTACAGCTTATTTTTTTAATATAAAAAGTAATAGATGCTACAGAAAAAAATTGATGCATAACAACCTTTTTATATTAATTAGCATTTATTATGAAATGGAAAAACTGACATTAGTAATTTCTAAGAAACAGTAAAACTTCGGCAAGATCCTCTTTGTTAGAGGACTATAGATGCGATTTGATAAACTTCAGATCTGAGAAGAGTCTTTCCACACTGACTTGAGCAGGAAGAAAAGCTGTTACTGTTATGGCTACTTCCTTTAACTTTTCAGGATAGATTTTTATAAGTTCTAAAAGAGGTGTCTTGCAAGAGCAATCATATTTATCTATTTCTTCAAAGGCCATGTATAAATCTTGTTCAGATTGTAGCTTTTTGGTGGCTATATATGGTATAGAAAGAAGAGTTTCCAATTCTGCAAGATCATTCCACAGTCTTTCTGTTACTGAAACATTTGGGTTATCTACATCTTCTAACATTCTTGTCTCCTGTTAATTCTTCAGATTGTAGCTTTTTTCATGGCTATATACGGTGTTGAGAGAAGGATTTCCAGTTCTGCAAGATCATTCCACAGTCTTTCTGTTAGTGAAATATTAGGGTTATTTACATCTTCTGAAAAAGCTATTAATCCTAACAATCACTATATCATCAAATATGTACTTCTCCATTGCGTTGCTCCTTTTCCTGCTCGCTTCCTAAGAATGGCATCAATTATGGGAGTTCTTGCTGCTTACCTAAATTCACCAATGAGATTAGTAACTAAATGAATCAGTTTAATCAATAATGCCAAATATCATATCCATCCTGCTCCCTTATATTTTTTTACTAATATGCCAATAAAATAGAAAATAACTATTAATGTATATAGTCCATAAATAAAAATATTAACTCTGTTTGCCATTAATTATTTTTTCAATTCACTTTAATTTCATTTCAAATTCAAACTGTTCAATAAAAAACTGGAGGAGTCGTGTTTTTTAGCGATTCCAATTCCGACTCCTTTTACCCAAAAATCTGCCCAATTCCGATTTTGACTCCTCAGCCCTGATTGTGAGTGGTATCATTGTTTATTTCTTCCATTTCTTCTAGTTTCTTTCGCAGTCCTGAAGGAAACATGTTTTTTTCCCACCCTAAACTAACATTTCTAGTAGAAACCCAACTCTGGTGTTGACTGATAGCAAAAAAAAAAAACCCCATCTCATCAATATTATAAATTTTCTTGATATTATAATATTTTCTTTAATTTGGTAAATGTTTTAGTAAATCTATCATATTACTCCACATAGTTGGGAATTCAAAATATTAGTATAACTAGTTTAGGAATATAAGAAATCATTTAATATGTGTTATGTCATAAAGGAACCTATAAGATAAATTAATTGCTCTTGAAGAAAAATAAAATTTGTGTTTCAGAAATGTATAAAAACATATTAATGAAATAAATTTTATCAACAGAAACGCTTGTTAAGGAATTTTCCACAGAAATACTTGTACAGGTGTTCACAGTATTAAAAAGTACAATCAGTATTTACACTTCAAACTGCTAAGAATGTTAAACGCAACCCAATGCAAAGTGAATCTAAAGAGAAAGTTAATCCGATCTCATACAGAACTAGCAACTCGCAACAATAGCAACTGAGAGCAGATGCGATCTCTCCGCCCTTATGCAGTTTTCAACTGGCCACCGAGATATAGTACTTTCTGTTTCTCAAAATTACAGGAAAACGATATGAGGATCAAATTACGTTTACAGCTAACATAGTGATTAATTACATTTATTCAATTACAATACCTATTACGGTGACACAGGAACTGAACCAAAATGGTCACCAAGTTTTGCATTTTTTGGCAGGTTTGACAAAATAAGTCGCCAAAACCTTTGTCTGCTTGGCAATATCTCGCCAAATTACCAAGATACCTCTTTACTCAATAGTAAATGGATTTGCCCCCATATTCTTACTTTTCTAACATAGCTCGTCAGTTTTTCATACTTTTGTTACATTATGCTGCAAAATACAACAATTTCACAAATGATTGCACTAAAATCATCTAAGTGCAAAATTTGTAACAATATGTTTCTGATATTATTTGACAAAAAGAAATGCCGAGTCATATTTTTGTTTACTGCTTTTCATGACAAAAGTAAGAAATTATTTCAGCTCTCTTTGGTCATTAAAAAAAGTATTAATTTAGGTTATTTTGTAAGACTGAAGTTTCATAAAACAAATGTCTCTAAAGCAGGGAATAATTTTCTTGATTTCAATTTGTTGTATATTGCTTGATTGCACAGCTATTTAATTTTCGTATTTTAATACAAATTTATTACTATTTATATATTTCCTCCCTCCTTTTGTGATTGTTATTATAGTTTTCAAAAATCTGCAATACTGTTTTTTCATATGTGAGGGGATCATCCTTCATTTGAATTCTTATGACTTCATTATGTTTCTGAAGATGATGTTTTCCACCAGTGCCTCCCAGAGTTAAAAATATCATTCAGGAAGATTCCAGAACTCATGTCGTAGAAGGAAATAGTACTGATATACAGTGTTATGTACATGGAAATCCTCTGCCTATTGTTTCATGGATGAAAGATGGAAAGGTAATGTTATGCGAACAGATAAGCATATCTGGAATTTGTTCTGTTATCAGTGTTTTATTAAATAACATTTAAATGCCTGTATATATATATATTTTTTAATTTTTACACAAGGTAAATTTTAAACAATTCGTAAAATCTTATTTTGCTTTAAGGTAAAATTTTAAGTTATATTTTGGATGTTTGTCATTGACATGGTCTTTATTTAGAATTAAATTGTATTTGAATAGAAATGGGACATAAATCCTTTTAGTATCTGTTTCAAAATTATACAATATGTGCTTTATTAGAGTGTTTGAGAATTATGTATTTTTAATAAATCTGTGTGAGGCAAATATTCTTTCATTTCTGGACAAAGTGATATTTATTTAGATAATATAAACTATTTTAATGCAAATGATCATTCCTAAATCTTTATTTTAAATATTCCAATTTTTAAAGAGAAATGTGGTATTTGAATAGAATAAGTCTGGTATAGTTATATTAATTTATATTGTTGCTTGCAAAATGGTTCATAATAGATTGAATGCACGCAAAACCAGTGATAGCTTGATAAAATTTATTTTACTAAAAAGTATACTTGTCAGTTCTGGAACTTTCCACAAAAATACTAGTACAACTCTTCTCAGTATCACAGAGCACAATTAGTCTTACAATTCAAACTACTGAGGATGTTAAACACATGCAATGAAAAGTGCATCTAAAGAGCAAACCTTACATGGAGTTTTCTCAATACTCTGTAGTTGACCTTTCTCAGTCTAAACTGAGAAACTGATGCTCTCTCCGGTCTTATGTCTTATATCCCCCCCCGGCACCAAGAAATCCCTAGTACCTTTCACTTTTCAAAATTACTGGAAGAATATGAGGGCTGAATCCATTTACAGTTTTATACAAGGATCAATTACAGTTATTCACATACAATACCATTAACAGTTACACAGGGACTAGACCTAAATGTTGCCAAATCATCCTTAAGGACTTATAGCTATTTCTCGCCAAATTTGGCGACAAATTAGTCACCAAAACCATCACCAGCTTGGCAATATCTAGTAAATTTAACAAGATTTTAACTCTTTACCTCAATGTTAAATAGGCTTGCCCCTGTAATCTTATTTTTCTTGCAGAGCTTTATCTCTTCCAAGCATCTCATGTTACATTATACAAAAAAATGCTTCAGTTTCACTAAAATTATTTACATATCTACAAAATTTGTAATTAAATTAATTTATAGTATTACAATACATTTTGTTTTCTTTTTTTAGGTATTAATTTCTGGTAAAGCTGAAAGATTGCAGTTTCTAGAAAACAATCAACTGTTACATATAGCAAATGTGCAAACTGAAGATGGAGGACGTTATACATGCATAGCATCTAGCCCATTAGGAACTGAAGAGAGACATTTTGACTTGTTTGTCCAAGGTATGAATTGCACTGGATTTTTATTTTCTCCAATATGTATGCAAATATGCATACTATATGTACTATATAAATCAGAAGCAATCCAACGTAAGCAATAATCTGATCTAAAAAATATATAATAAAATATACTACAGTCAAAAGTCTTTAATCCAGACATCCATAATTCAGAATGATCTATAATCGGGACCTCAAAGCTACAAACTTTCTGCGCATGCATCAACGTATAATGTGTTGACGCATGCGCGTAATACCTTTACACATGCACATATGCGTGTACGCATGTGCATAATACATTTACGCATGCGCGTTTAATGTATAACGGACGGTATAAGCTAAACTAAAATTATCTAATTATATAAAATTTAGTTAATGTTGCAGATTGCAATGTTCTTTAATCTTCGAATTGGATCCGGCTTATTATTTTTTCAGACTGTTAGAGCAATTTTATAAAAGTATGTTGGAACTTTCAATTATGTCAAATAGAATTTCCGAAGCTGGATCTACAAAGGGAAAGCATGTTTCAATGTCCATCAAACAAAAAGTGGAATTGCAGCAAAAAGTGGATAAAGGCTCCTTTGTTTCTCTAACCATTCCGAAATCTGTTTATCAATTTCATGCTGCTCTGCGTGGGGGTGGGGGGATGTTGCGGTGCACAATGAACTGGAAGTTGATCTGTTAGCACTATCCTTATCTTCAGATCTATCAGATGTTTTTAATTTATTCGGCTTATAATTGCTTACTAAATGAAGTATTTCATCTCGATGTACTCCGTCTTTGATATGATTTAAATCAAATTCCTCATCATTGTAAATATCACGAATACAAATCAAATAGTTTTCTGGTTACAATTTTCTAATTTCGACTATGCGTAATGTATGCTTTACGCATGCGCGCGTTGAAAGAAATGCTCAATAAAGTAAACAAATAAATATTAAGTTTTTTTTTTTTTTTTTTTTTTAATTTTGATACCTTTTAGATCATAATTGCTCTTTATTTCATAAATTACGGTTTCATATTTTTAATTTTATAATTTTTGCATGCCATCTTACCAGATTTAAACTGACGATCTATAATCCGGAAAAATCGATAATACGGACTCGCCGAATTCCTTACGAGTCCGGATTAAAGACTTTTGACTGTATAATATAAAAATAACAATTAGAGGAGTAAATTCTTAACACAAAAATAACAAAATTTTCGAAAGGTAAAATATATTTATATAATATTGTGCAATAGTAGCAGAGCCTAATATATATACGTAAATAATAGCAAAGGAAAGATGAAGCAGTGTTAATGCATACTTAGAGCCATATTAAGGAGGAACAATTCTGATTGCATTGTATGCTGATATGCTGATTTGGTAATATCTAAAAAGTTTGGCAGTCGAGGCAATTTTAATTCCTTTTTATTTGCAACTGACATTTGTGGCCACAGTTCGCTTTTCATCCTAGCTGTGCCTATCTAAGAACATTTACATTTTTGATATTGTTGCACTAGGAAGCAGCATAGCGAAATTACATCCAAGCAGAGCAGAAAAAGAATCTAAAGTGCATAGTTATCCTATATGGAAGCACACGAAGAGAAAGGTTTTGGTTTGAGTTAAGAGGTTCAGTTCCCAGGTATTGCATCATCAGCATTGTGCAGGCCATGCAAAAGGGAATGATGTAGAAAAGATACAATCCAGAGAAGTTATTATGATTTTTAGAAGAGAGAGGGAGAATTAAAAGTTTTACTGTTAGTTTAAATTATAATTTTGATTCACATATTTTTTATCTTGCATAATTAAAATAATTGTAAGCAAGGAAAAAACAGAACATTGCTGATGCTTACATAGATCCACAATGAAAAGGAAGAATTCTGATTGCTTAGTATGCTAATATGTTGACTTGGTAATATCTAAAAAACTTGGCTGTGGAGGCAGTTTTAATTCCATTTTTATTTTCCATTTGATGTTTGTGACCACAATCACTTGGTACTCTAGTCATGCTCTTTTACATAGCATTTGCATTTTTGATATTATTGCAACAGCAAGCAAGACAGCGAAGTTACATCCTAGCAGGGTAGAGAGCGAAGCTGAAGTGTGTAGTTATGCGATATGTAAGCACATAAAGAGAAAGGTTTTTGTTTGAGTTTAAAGAGTTTACTGTTAGTTAAAATTGTAATTTTGATTCTCATATTTTTTATCTTACACAAACACACATATATATGTATTCTAGCTGGTTGTATATTTATGGATCTGTAAGCAATTACATGTAGTTAAAAGTGTGGATCGTATATTCAAATTCTGATATGTATTCATGTATAGATAGAATAAAAAGTAAGAAATTTAGAACCCATTTTACGCAAGGATCCAAAAGAAGTGAAATTTAATACCAATAAATTTCAAAATACCTTACAGATATGCAAAATAAGATTTAAAGAAATATGAAACTAAAACCTAAAAATTATAAAAACCTGAAAAAATATACCAAAACCAAAATATATATATATTATCAAGAGGATAATGATGTTATCTTCTTTTATTTTTTTTTACATATTTTTTCTGATTTTGGTGTATTTCAGGTTTTTATCATTTTGGGGTTTTAGTTTTATATTTCTTTAATTCTTATTTTGATATTTTGAAATTTTTTGGTATTAAATTTTACTTCTTTTGGGTACTTGTGTAAAGTTGGTTCTAAATTTTTTACTTTTTATCTATACTGATCAATTTTCAGCAGCGTATTGCATGGAAATACTTGGAATAATTATGTTTTTAAATTTTAAAAAAATGTGATGCAAGAACACACGAAAACTACGGGACATATTTTGATTTGATGTTGTCTATTGACTTATATTTTAACTTGATGACAGAGCAAAAGACACACTGAAACATAGGCGCTGCGTCGCGGTTTTCGAGATAAAGGAACTTAGCAGTTTTGCGCCGTGTAGCAGTCAAATGGTTAAGAATCACTGTAAAACTTTGAAAAGCAAAATGTAGAAAATTTACTAAATTGAACTCTTAATTGGCAGCAAAACCCAAAAGATGGCACTACAAGTTTTGTTCCCCTCGTCCAGTAGGAGAGAGAAATTGGTGACTTACCTTCAACAGTTCATTTTCCTGCTAACTGGCATGCTTTTTATTCGAATTCCACCTATGATTATTCTGTGATTGTGTCAAACGACTTGTGTATTTTTGTTATCTATGTATATGTGCAAAACTAATATATTTTCTAATCTAGTTAAAGTAGTGGATGTAAAAATATGTAGATTTATATTCTTTGTCCTTATGTTAACGTACATCTGTACAGAATTGTGCCTTAACAATCTGTACTATGGTAAGACAATATAACATGTACAAAACATTAAAGAAATTCAAGTATTTTGGCTGTACTGATTAAAATTTGGCAATCTGTTAAACATAGACACGACCTGACACTAAACAAGATTTCTTGTTGATAAATTAATTAATAGTTTTGGAAATGCCTGCTAGAAAAAAAGTATATTTAATACAATCTTTGCTGGTGTATTTTAATTATTGTAATTATGTTATGCTTCATTTTTATTATTGAAATATTAATGGTAATTTGGATCTTGTACAAAAAAAAAAATAAAATTTTATTACAGTTCCTCCTAAAATTTATGATGATTTGAATACTGACTATATTGCCCATTTAAACAAGCCACTGATAATTCATTGTGAGGCAGAGGGTAATCCAAAACCGGTTATAACATGGATGAAGAATGGTGTTTTCCTGGAGCCATTTGCAGATCCAAATCTTCATTTCCTTAAAGAAGACTCTGCCCTTTTAATTCGCTTAGCAAGAATAGAAGACTCAGGAAAATACACTTGTGTTGCATCGAGTTCAGCTGGGCAAGATGAAAGGAATTTTGACATTCGTGTGTATAGTAAGTTTTCTTTCTGCATTACTTTTACACTTCTGCAGTCAGTATTTTTGTTTTCATTCTAGTTATATAAGGTTTTTATGCAAAATGATTAACTTGTATTTCTAGAATTACCTGAAAAGCTCAGTGGTTTTATATATATATATATATATATAAATATAATTTTGAGTTCTAAACTTTAATAGCATTAAAGTACTGTATTTCCTGGAATTAGTCATAAATCATAGTAAAATTATTTAAAAAATATCTGTAGATGGGGAAATAAATATGCAGCTGTTCTTTTAAATAAATTACTAATTACTTTTGAAGATTTTGCTACAAATTCATCAATAATATTAATTTGTCATTATACATTTAATATAATATGACATAATTTACATAGTGTTATTATCTTCCACAGAAACAACTTGAATTTCTGTTATTCAGGTAATAAATGATTAAAGGCATAATGCTGTAATATTTTGCTGTTATGTAAAAATTTGTTTATAACAGAATTTTTTGAAGAATGGTAAAAATATTTAAACATAACTTACTTGTTATGCCAAGTGTTATGAAATATTAGAGCTTCGAAGCTAAAATTTGATATTATTTAATAAAATTTGATATAATAGTATGTGCATAATAAATATATGTGTCTGGTAATCAGTAAGTCATGCACATCAAAATTTTAAAAACTTTGAAAATTCCAGAGTGTATGTTAATGGCAAATTGTTTCAATGGATGAGGCCACAGTGCTATTATAAATAATATAGCATTTGAAATATGATTTGCACTTTATCCTGTTAATTTTGAAAGGAATTTCTTTGGTTGAAAAAGGAAATGAGCTTTTCCCAAAAGGAACAGTTTTTTAGAATTTAGCGTTACTTTGCAGTGCATTTTTACAAAAAAAAAGTTGTTGAAATGATTAAATGTGACCTTTTGAAATGTTCGTGAATCTAACAAGGCAACATTTTTCTGCTTAGCAACCTAATTTTGATGCAAAAGAAGCATTCACCATAAGAAACAGTTTGTGCACTTCCACATAATAAACAGCTTGCGGTGCCATTTTTTTCATATTCTTTTTTGGTGACTGTAATATTTTTATTCCTATTTTATTCCTTATTTATTAAATTTCATGTGCATGACTTCTTAATTACTTAGCATGTGTGTGTATGTATATATAGAGAGAGCAAACATACGGATTCGTAATGGATTGAATGCATACAGAACTGATGTAAATGTTATAGAATTTATTTTCCCAAATGAAACAGTTTACAGTTCTGGAACTTTCCATAAAAATACTCATGCAGCTCTTTCCAGTATCACAGAGTACAATTAGTTACACTTCAAACTGCAAAGAATGTTAAATACTGCGAAGTGCTTCTAAAAGACGAAGCTCACAAGGAGATCTCTCAATACTCCGAACTCGATGCTGAACTAAACAGCTGAATTGATGCTCTCTCAGCTTATATAGTTTTGCTTCCGCTGTTTGAAAAATCTCTAGTACCTTCCACTTCTCGAGACTGCTGGAAGGCACATACAGTTCAAGTTACGTGTAAGGGTGGGTACAGTTGCAGTTACACACAGGGGGATCAATTATAGTTATTCAATTACAGTTTTACAGGACCTACCAAATTTGGTAACAAAAATTATTTACCAAAACTATGCCAGCTTGGCGTTATCTTGCCAGTTCAGTGCAATAGTCATTTACCTCGGTGATAAATAGACTTGCCCCTTATTTTTTCAATAGAACTTCACTCTTTAGATTTTTCATGTTACATTATACAAAAGACAATAAAATCTCGCATGTAATTTTGCTAAAATAATTTATATATATATATGCAAAATTCGTAACTATAGTATCTATCTATCTATCTATATATGTGTGAGCATTGTTTCGAGGTAACTGAAGGAAGTCTTATTCTCAGAGAGTTTTGGAAAGGCCGCTTTCACATCATTGCCTGCCTCAAGATGATCGACAGTGCATGGGTGAGGAGTCACCAAAAGAACCTGCATTTTCTCATGGGAGAAGCTTTGGCCAGACAGCTTTGTTGAATATGGCAACAAAGTGTTTGACCAAATGAATATAGAGTATCTCTGACCAAAATTATGGTACTAGAGGTAGATAGCAATGACAGCGATGAGCTAGTTAAAGAATATAGCCAGGAGGTGAATACTGAAGAACATATGAAAATGCTTTTAATGTCACAACAAGAAACTCTGAAGTAGATTTTGTTGGGAGGAACAAATTTGTAGGGAGCAGCAAAGAAACAATCTTTCCGTAAAGGGAGATGTTGAAAGCATTGGAAACTGTTGCGTCATGATTTGAGAAGCATCAACCTATAAGGTAGTAGCAATATGTACTAGAAATTTATTTAACAATAACACTGTGTCTCATTTTTGCCAAATTTTAAGCATAAGCAAAAACAAATGCCTTTAGGCAGGTTTCTTATAAAAAAAGGATGTATGCTTAAAAATTTGGAGTAATAAATTACATTATTACAAATATGTTTGAGTATTGTTTTTCAGAATGGAATGCATCAGGAATAACCAACCTGTATTTACTACGCTTAAAAGCATTTATAGACAAAGCATTCAGGGGCATTTAAAGTAATTTCCTGTTGAAATATTGAATTTTTAATTTGAATGTTGGAATCAAAATTAAAAGTAGTAATTGCTTAAATAATGCAGTTTTCAGAGTATTTGAGTCATTTTTCTTTTTTACAATCTTCTATTTATTAACTAGTAAAATCAACTTTGTTAATATTAATTTCAAATGACATATTTTTGTACATTCTTGGGAAAAAAAAAAAAAAAAAAAGCTTTTAATTTATAATTTAAAATGCACAGCTTTTCTTTTGTAATTAATGCTAAACAAAATTTAAATTTTTAATTAAGTATTAAACTTGGTGTGTACCCATCTTCCATTCATTATTAAGAGTGCTGAAATATCATGTTTATTATTTTAAGCTCCAGTATCTATTGATAAGGAAAATCTAAAGCATGATTTGCTGACTGTGGTTAACCAAACAATTATATTACAATGCCCTGCATTTGGAATACCATCTCCTGCTATATCATGGTTAAAGGATGGTGAAGTTCTACATTCAAGTGTAGATTCAAAGCACCAAATTTTAGAAGGTATTTTTCATTTTTAATTCTACTAAAAGCATTTCAAAGTAAAAATTATGTTCTTTTATCTGTCACATTTACTTTTCTAATTTTGTCTTTTCACAGGTGGAAAAGTTCTCAAAGTAAATTTTGCAAAACAAAGTGATGAAGGAAAATATTCTTGCATTGCATTTAATGACGCTGGCACCGATACTGCAGAGTTTATTGTTGATGTAATGAGTATGTATAAATTTTCTTTAGGTTCTTAAAATCACTTTTAAGTTCTTATGTTTGTTAAAAAAAAAGAAACAAGTTTTAGGTACAGATGTAACACTGTCGTATCCTGGAGCTGTATCCCCCAAGATTTACCATTATTTCTGTATATAAGTCAGCTTATCTGTAATAATCAGGTGAGTTGACTTACCTGCTGTACTTAAGTGCATATTTCCTCTGTAGCATGAATTTTAGAGATATTTATCACTTAATATTCCTGTAAAAGCTCAGAAATGATAATGTACACTGTGCAAAAAAAAGGGGGTGACGGTTCTATATCTCCCGTCCTACTGGGCCAATTGACAAAAGTCAGATTGCGTTTCTCATGTCTCAAAAGCACGACATAGGATATATATTAGATTTATATATACCACTGTCCTAATATATACCAATTTGTTTTCATATTTCGATTCTACAACTCAAATTATGCCTAGGTATTAAGTTTTATAAAATTTGGTGTGAAATTTATGAAAAAATTCAAAAATATATCATGGCGAAATTTTTTTAGTTTGGCCAAGAATAATTCACTTGTTCAACTTCTTAATATATGGCAACCAATTTTCCTCTTTCTTCCATTATGCCGGAGCAGAAAAAAAGACACCTCCTTCCTACCTTATTACATTGTGTATGAGTGGGGAAAAAGTCACATCCTTTCTACTTCCAAATAATTTTATCAAAGTGTTTAAACCACATCTGATGTTTTATCGCTTTCAACAAATATGCCAAATTTCAAAATGTGCCAATATTTAAATTCACATATATCTTTGGAAATTTTGGATAAAAAATTGTATTTTTTTGCATGTATGCTTAGAAATATATGTACTTTAAGATAACGATAAAAATTTTGTAGATTATAATTCAAAATGTTTTTGGAAAAATTTATAAAAATTATTTAAAGATACAAATTTTAAAATAAATCATAAAAAATGGGTGAATTTTATTTGGAAGAAACCTGAATTTCAAAATGCGAAAGGAAGAATCAAATAAGCTTAGTAAAAAAAAAAGAGATTAATAAATATACTCCAAACTCAAATTAACTTTACACTTGGTAGTTTGGCATACTTTGATTCATAGAATTGAAATATGGAAAAAAAGTTGTTATTTCAGAAAAAGTCCAATTTTGTGTCAAAATACCTATATTAGAACAATGCTATATATAAATCTAATACATATCCTAAGTCGTGCTTTCAAGACATGAAAAACGTATGTTGAATTTCGTCAATCAGCCCAGTAGAACGGAAGATATAGGACTGCCCCTCTCTTTTTCTTTTTTTTTCTTCGCAGTGTACATACCCTTCCTATAATTTGGATACGTGTCTCGTAAAAAAGCATCGCATGTGCTTTGCTTGATCAAAAATCTGCTATGATTTTCGCTACAAATGCCATATGCTGTGCTTCAAAATGTTAGACTTTCTTGAGAAAGAAGCTTAATTTTTTATAAATCATGTATTATCTCACACATTTTCCTCCCTACCATTTTAGTGTCAGTTCTGAAATTTTTTTAAATATTTACAGAATTTTCGCCTTCTTCAGTGCATTTAGAGAAGGAGCTATCCTGAATTTTAGAATAGATTCATCCGTGTAGTAATTGTTTTTTGTTTTACTAGCAAAGGCAAATTTTCACAAACTACCTGAGAATGCCTCTTACTCTTCTGAATATTAAATTTTAGCCCAGCATAATGCAAGAAGCAGTCGGTCACAGAAAAGCAAATACGAACTGACATTCAGTCTACAATTTTGCTGAGTCTTCTTCACATTCACCTTCTGTAATTATTTATGTATGATTTTGAAGATTAAGACAATAGTACAGAGGTTGTTTGCCAATTTTTAGAGGATTTTGCTTTGCTATATATATATTATATATATATATATATATATATAAAATTGTCTGCTTAAAATTTAAAATTATTTCTTTAATTGCAACTCTATTTTTTAAAGTATGAATTATCATCTGCTACTTAAAAGCTTGTTTTCATGCAAAATGGCACTTTTAAAGAAACAATGGATGGAATGCAATGTTTGTGCTCTTTCTGAAGAAAATTATTCTTATCTAATTCTTAAAAAATGTCGTGAAAGCCATGTTTTCTATATCTAAAGCTACGATAGGTAATATTGTCAACAAGAAAGGAAAAAAACATCAAAGTTTGGCTTCAAGTGGAAAAATTGTTTCAACTACATATCGAAGGAAAAAATGGAATGTTTTGAATGTTGGAAATATAAGATCTTTAACGTTAAAAAAAAATTCGCCAAGTCAAAGGACAGTTGAAAAATAATTGAAAGACTCAGTGTCGATTGTAAACAAAGTGATTAATGCTGATTTGAATCTTAAAAAGGTGAAAAAACAATGTGCATCTTGTTTCTGCATGACATATCACCAAATGTAGAATGTGTTGTAGAATTCTTTATGAGAAACGTTTATCCAGACAAAAATGGGAAATTGTTGTTACAGTAGATGAATCTTGGGTGTATTTAAATGACCGCAATAAAAAGAGATCTATTTATTATCATCAAAGAGGAGAGGGAAAAATCTTAAAACATGATTCGGTACTATTCTGTTTTGAGGGCCGTAAAAAAGTTGTAGCGAAAATGTATGCGCAAAAGCGCCAAATCTAGAGTACGCGCTGATTTCAGATTGCGTAAGTTTATATAGTTGTATATTTCATAAGACGCCGTTGAAATACTAGTTTAATTTTTAAATACTTTTTTTATTTTAAATCCTTTTTTTAATATCCTATGGATTTAACAATTGCCCATGACGAAAAGTCGGCAGTAGAATTTTGGGTAAAGTGCAGAATCATCCACTGCTTGATGCGTTTTTAAGAATTGCACATACTTGGTACCCATGTGCACATCGACCTATTTTTACTTGAAAAAGAATTCTAGAATTGCACAAAAATGGCACTGTGCACACCCTTGACATTATCTGTGTACACAATCAACCTATTTTCACTTAAAAAGTAAAAGAAAATTGACAAAAATCCAATTGTTTTTACCCTTGTAAAAAGCGGCGAACAAATAAGTCGATTCTGCACTTTTCCGAGAATATTTTCAAAGAAAAGGCATCATTCATTATAGAAAATTACATTTGAACAACCAACGAGATGAAATTATGCGTTAGTGATAAGTCGGTAGCGAAATAGCAATGCAGGCATCCATTCAGTTATGTTTAGCAATTTTTATATAAATTATAATAATGATCTGAAATAGTTATTTACTTTTATGCTTCCATTCACTCATGTTTAGCCTTTTTCATATAAAGTAGAATTATGAAAAAGTATTATATGAAATTAACCTTTCATCTAAATTAAAACATCAATCTTAGATAGTTATTTACTATTATACTTCCTTTCTTGCCGCAATTATTTTTGGCAGCATTGGCATCAACAAAAGTTTGGCGATTTTTTACAGCCCTCGAAACTGAATAGTATCCATGATTCAAAGAATCTAAAGAAAATTTTTGAAAGGAATGTATGATTGCTGCTTGTTTTTCATATAATGGTAAATTAAAAATAAATAGAGTGGATAAAGATCTTAAGATCAACTCTACATATTACCAGGAACTTATTTTATACCAACTTTCAAATGAGAAATACCTTCTCGTCATCCACAGTGCCGTCACTCAGCAGAGTTGCAGGAAGACAAAGCAAGCATCCACATGTCAAAATCCACTTTTAATTTCCTGCAAAGGGGAAAGAAAAAGGGTATCAAATCCATACCCTTCACTCACATTCCTTCTAAATCTCCTAATGTGTTACCCATGGATTTTTGCACTTTTAAAAAGCAGATTGTCCAAACTTTGACCTAAAGCTTTCATTGGACTTTGGAAAACTATTCAAGAGGAATGGGATAAAATGCCTTTTCCGATTCTACAAAAGGTTTTATTGTCTTGGAAATTATGAGGTAGAAAGATAGTGAAGAATATTATCACTTGGAACATTTATTATTTAACAGGTGGTGGTTATCAATTAGAACATTTAAAACACAAAACATTTAGGTAAAATATTTCTGTAAATACAATGAAAACAGTCTAAAAAATGGCAAAATCCAAGGGAAGTAAAAATTAAAATATTTTATTAACTATTGTAATGTTAATATTACTATGTATTCTTATTGGAACATAGATTTCTTTCAAAAAATAATATTGTGAAGATTACCTGTAATTTAGCCATGATTTTTTCATTTGCTATGTGCTTACTGTAACTACATCCTTCAGAAATTAAATTATTTGCATGGTTTTTCCCTATTGATTTTTGAATGATAAGAGTAGCAAAAAAGGAAGGAAGAATATAGTATTTTAATATTAGTGAGCAGTTATTTGAGTCAGCAGTTTTAGTTACCGAGGGATATGAGATGATTATTAGACAGAGCATATATGAAAATTCATTTTAAATTGCCAATGTACTTTTTTTTTTTTTTTTTTTTTTTTTTTTTTTTTTCCCATTTGATGGTTATAACTTTATTTTTGAAGGAAAAACTTGAAAAGGATAGATCAGTGTAAATCAATAAGAACTATTTATTTTTAATCTCTTTACCAGTGTTCTTCACATCTGAATAAAACCCTTCCATCTCCAGCCTAAATCTGGAGTTCCAGTAGAAAGCAAAAAGAAAAGTTCCTATTCTCTTGAGATGCATTTTTGATGGGCATAAAGAAATTTACTTCTTATATCTAATGAAATTTTGCATTGGTAAAAAGCATAGTGTGAAAACCATTTCAGTGTTGATACTGATACAAGGATCAATGTTGACAGTCTAAGTGATTTTAATATATTAAAATTCTGAAAAAGTTTGAATTGTGTTTAAAAATGGGTCCAAGATTCTATTAGTATTGCTTTGTGATTCATAAATAAACTAACATCATATTTGCATGCAATTTTTTCTGCTTATGTATCTTGATGATACAACTTTCTTTATATCTATACTGCATAATTGTATTAATCAAGTAAATGATCCTTCTTAAATTTCTTGAT